GACAGTCTTCCCAGAAGAGTTGAAGCTGTAATAGCTGCAAAAGGTGGACCGACATCATATTGAACTCTGGGTTAGGAATGGGATGGCACTTCAGTTCATAGTAGGAGTCAAGGGAGGTGAGCCAATACTTTTGGTAATATAGTGTACATTTGTGTAAAATCGTTTTGGTTTTTTTTTTCTGTTCTGATTCTGTTTCAATAAGTGTTTTCTGAAAGCACAATGGTTCTTAAATATTTTCTGTCACCACCCATGTTTTATTTAATCAGATAGTTAAGTCTTGGACATTCCCGCTCACCACTCACAGATACCTTGTTACTGTTCTGTCATATTTTTTAGAATTACCAAACCCATCAGAGTATAAAAAATTTGAAGGAAAAACAAAACACGAAAATATATACAAACATCGCACATCGCGTCCGAACCCTCATTAGCCATCAATGGTCTAAATTAAATGTACATTTCTGTGTCATTGTCAGTGAGCAACATGTGCAGCTCATGGGCTCGACTTCACTGATGAAGAGCAGAGCCCTACACAGACTCAGTGAAGACTACAACTCCATCTTTTTGAACAACCAGAGTTTTACCTCTGCTCAGCTCGCTGTTGGAGGCTGTTTCGCCGCCGTAGATGCCATTTTGTCTAAAGAAGTGAGACGAAATCGGTGAGAGTCATCTATGATTATCATAAGGCAGACCATTAAAATATTTGTGCTTGTGTGGTCAGGTGAGTAATGCCGTGGCCATTGTCCGTCCTCCGGGTCATCACGCAGAGCCGGACTCTGCCTGCGGATTTTGCCTCTTCAACACAGCAGCCTTAGCTGCTCGCCATGCCCAAAAAATGACCCATCCTGAAAAACTGAGGATCCTTATTCTGGACTGGGACGTGCATCATGGAAACGGGACGCAGCACATGTTTGAAGATGATGACAGGTTCGGTAAAGGCATTTGTAGGAGGCACGGTAAAATGATGAAATCACTAACTCTGCTCTCTCTCTCTCTCTAACTCTCTTCAGTGTCTTGTACATCTCACTCCATCGGTATGACAATGGGGTGTTTTTCCCCTCTTCAGAAGATGGTGCCCCCAACAGAGTAGGTGTGGGCAAAGGGGTGGGATTTAACGTGAATGTGGCATGGAGTGGAGGAAGAATGGGCGACTCTGATTATCTGTCTGCCTTTCATCACGTGGTGATGCCCATCGCTACTGAGGTAATAACAAACACTAACACAAACACACACACAGAAGCCAGTTGCTGCTAGGGCAAAATGTATTATTATTGTATTATTATTTGTATTAATAATACAATATGTATTATTATTAATAATACATTATTATTATTATTATTATATTATTATTATTATTAATAATATAAAATGTATTATTATTGTATTATTATTTTTACACCCTGTGACAGTGAATTGATGTAGAAATAGAGAGGTAAAACATTATTAATCCCTCAGGAGTTCCTTTCAATAAATTAAAAAAGATGACTGAGTTATGTCTTACAAGATATACATAGAGAAAAATATATATATATAAAAAAAATGGTAACAAAAAAAAAACAATGTTTGTTCAAAATAAAAACTGAAGAAAATACCGGAAAAACACATGTTCACTTATTTACAAATGCACACGTTACTGGTACAGTGCTCTAACTGATGAATCCTCCCTCACTCTCCAGTTTAACCCTGGCCTTGTTTTGGTGTCAGCCGGCTTTGACGCAGCACGTGGTGACCCACTGGGTGGATATAATGTCACCCCTGAAGGATATGCCCACCTGACACACATGCTGAAGTCTCTGGCAGGAGGGCGTATCCTGCTCATCCTGGAGGTGCGGTAGCGATGATCACTTTCTGCCACTGTCTGTTCAGATGACATCATCGCCAATTTCACTTCTCGTGTTTTCCTCAGGGTGGCTACAACCTGACCTCCATCTCTGACTCCATGACTATGTGCACCAGCATGTTGCTCGGAGATCCTCCACCATCCCTGGGAACTCCGCTACCCCATCCTCATCATTGTGCCGTGGCAACAATTAACGAGGTCATTCGTCACCATTCACCCTATTGGAAGTCACTCAGGATCCAAAGTAAGTACAGAGATCTTTTTTTACATCGGTCACTTTGTTTGTTTGTTTTTTGTTTGTTTCAGTGTAGTCTTGTTTTTCCAGTTCCAGCATCAGTGCGAACATCACTGCCCGCCCTGAAGCATCGTGGGAAACGTAGCTCCAAAGGAAAAGACAGGAAGTCAGAGGCAAGCAGCGCGGACAATACAATAGACACTCTAGATCATCTGACTCAGGGATTGGCCAGTTTAGACATCGGTCAGGCCTCACCCAATCACAGTTCAGTTACATCCACTCCAGTGCGGGGGTCAAAGGCAGAGGTCTGCCTTAGCCAAGAGGACGTGAAAAAGGAGCCAAAGAAGGCTGAGAGTGAGCAGAGCCAATCAGAAAAGAACCCTCAGAGTCCGGTGAGTACTTTTTCACGACAACATCAGTAACCAATGACCACAGGCAGCCATTGAAATGCTCTGACACCACCGTGAAATCACATGGCTCTAAAATCACACATGGTAACAATAGGCTTTTGTGCCTCCTCTGCTGTTTTTTTTTTTTGTTTTTTTTTTTTGTTTTTTTGTAGTTTGGTACTGTAGGCAACAGGCATTCTGGTGAAATGGAGGGAGCATGTGGTTGGTCAACATCTCAGGAACAGGTGATGGGAGAGATGAAGACACGCTTTGATCTAATTGATAAATAACATCTGCATCAGCAACTGATTGGATCACTGAAGACCTGTTTTCCATTTGACAGGGCTTGTACTTGATAGACCCTCTGCCCTGGTGTCCCCACCTGGATGCTGTCCAGCCCCTCCCGCCTTCAGGTGTGGACATCCATTTGCCATGTCAGGACTGCGGCTCAGACATTGAGAACTGGATTTGTCTTACCTGTTACCAGGTATGTCACTAACTCTCTGAGATTTTAAGGGTGTTACTGAACACAAAAACCCACACTGTTTGGTACTGTAGGCACAATACCCATCGATATGTCCCTACACATAAATCTTTACTAGTCTCTTTTGTGACTTTGACTTTCTCCAAAAGAATGTACCTTCCAAATCTAGGATGAAATTGATTGCAGGTAGCGCCCTCTTGGTCACATTGCTGTATAACTTTTGTCCTTGTAAACATTTACTGTGTAACACCTTATCCCAACCTCTGTGTGTGTGTGTGGTTTTTTGTTTTTGTTTTAATACCAGGTCTTTTGTGGGCGTTATGTGAAGGAACACATGGTGACTCATGGCTGTGTTACTGAACATCCTCTGGTGCTCAGCTTTTCTGACCTTTCTGTGTGGTGTTACCCGTGCGAGTCCTACATCCACCACCAGGTGAGCTTTCCTGTTTCAGAAGCACCGGCTCGGTGACATTGTGTTTAATTACAACAAAATATATGCAGACTTGTGCAGCTACATTTCACCGAGAGCAAGCCTTTGTGCAAACCTTATCTTTTTCATTAGCAGGGAGTGCTCAACAAAAACCTCTTTCCTTTATGTTTTATGTATTGTTTTTTTCCAGATTTTACACGAGGCTAAAAATGCGGCTCACTTTGCCAAATTTGGAGTAGATGTCCCGCCCTGGACCTAATAGATGGAGCAGGACAAGGATAAAGGAGAGGAAGGAAAAAAAGTCAAGTAAAATTTCCCCTTTGTAAAGCGTAAAGTGGAGTGCCACATTCAACCTCGTTATTATGGAACACATTTTTTTTACACATTTAATGGCAGCTTTTAATTACCCTTCTCTCCATCATACTTTTTTAAAAATCATGGTGCACAAAAGAGCCACCTCTAAAGGTAACGGAGAAAAGAAGATAGTGTAATAATTACAGTTGCATTCACCATGTTTAAAGATTATTAATGTTTGTTATTAACTGTTGTTTCAGAACAACAACAAAAAAAAAGTAAGTTGTATTTTTTTTCCAACCCTGATCTTTTCTTTACAAAATAAATAAAAGAATTAGCAGGAAAAGCAACTTGTTTGTCTAACAGCTATTAGAATCACAGGATGAAAATTGAATGGATGGAAGGAAAGTGAACTACTACTACACACCACTGCGCACAACGAAATGTGACCTCTGTTTTTAACCTGTTACCATATTGAGCAGGTTAAGTGTAGGGATGGTGCCATGCTCAGAGCACCTCAGTGGTGACTTGAACCTGAAAACTCCCAGATGCAAGTCCACGTCCTTAACCACCAGCCATCACTGCCCCTGAAGAAACAGTGATTTGTTTTGCATGTTAAAACAGCATTTCCGGGACCTCTGTGTGGCATGCAGATTTTTATGGTTGTTTAATTGTTAAAATTATTATTATTATTATTAAACTTTGTTTAACCAGGACGTGTTTTTTTGTCATGAAGACCTTGGTAAGAGGCACACCTGTATATTACATTACGGAACATACATTTAAAATTAATTCAGTGGATTTTTGAATTCAGTCGTGACTACCGAGTCATATTAAATATTTGTTCATATTGAACTCACGAATCACTCACAAGTCACTCTCTGCGAACTAATCTTTCACTGTGAACTAATCTTTCATTGCAAACGAATCACTCTCTGTGAACTAAACTTTCGCTGTGAACGAATTATTCTCTGTGAACTAATCTTTCGCTGTGAACTAATCTTTCGCCATGAACTAATCTTTCGCTGTGAACGAATCATTCTCT